AAACAAAAAAGGAACAAATAGATGAGCACAAAAGTACTTCCATAAAATCCAATTGTATCTGAAAATTCAACCAGAAAAAATATGTAAATTAAAATAATGATAAGCTTAAAAATTCCCAGCAAGTAAATGAACCTTTAAACAAAACCCAAATGACATAAACATTTGAACGAAACCCAAATTACACAAATTAAGTAAAAAAAGGAATCAGATACTCAGATTTAAAAGTGACAACAGAGAATCATAGAGTTCTTATTTATGGATATTCATAGAAAAATGGAAAACCATGAAATGGAGGAAACTGCGTTTGATAGTTCAGAATATGAAATTGATTTCCGTTTTCACATCTCAGAAAATCGCATTCATATTTGATACAATAAACTCACAACAATTTTCGATTTCACACCATGAAGACCATTTATCTCAGTAGGAGCTTCGATTTAGAGCTTGGCTAAGGTTCGATTTCAGCAATGGGATGGTGTGCGACGTCGGCTCTGGCGGTGCGAGGGCGTCGCCGGTGCTCTGTGACGTCAAAGATGCAGAGGCAGAAGAGTTCCAGTTCACGAATCAGGACAGATGAAATGGATAAAGAGAATGTGATAGAGAAAATAGATTCGGTGAGGAATCGGGCTGGCCTGCAAACGACGGCGAAAAAAACCAAACGACGACGAACAAAAATAGGAGACGTGGTCGGAAGCAATGAAATTATGTTGTGTGAAAGTTTTTTGAAATGCTTATCATCAAGTCCACAAACCCTTGGTACATGTACCTTCTAACGTTGGGGGTATTTGGGAATGATATGACTTATTAATATCTAAATAATGATTTTAATTATTTTCTAATATTAAAAACGAAAATATCACCAAGGGTAAATTATATTAGTATTTATTACGAATGCAACGAAAATAAATATAAAAACTGTATACATCTATGAATAACTAACATAATTATTTGACTTTGATTTATTATTTTTATCTAATTGTATAAATATTTTTTAAATTTTTATATATCTTTTACATAATTTTTAATTACAATATTTATATGATATAATAACAATATTTGTATAATATATTTACTTTTCTGGAAATTTCAGCCTATCTTTTTATTACGTATCATATTTAATATAAACTAATCTCACTATGTTCAATTATTTTCATTATAAAATTTTAAACATAACTTAGACATACCTAAACATATCATAATTTAATATTTAATATGTATATTTTTTTATTATGCTATATTAATTGTATAAAAAATATGAGCATGTATATATGTGAAACTAATGGGCCATATCACAACCTTTTATAAAAATATTGCAATTAGATATTACATATTATTATCATATCGGTTTATATGTTAGTTCTCTGTAATTTACTCATAATTTGTCAATATGTGAAAAAAAAAAGACATTCTACCCATTTGTTCAACATATAAATATTATATATGAATTATTTATTGTTATCTATTACACATCTTATTTTATAAATTAATTCGAGTTATCTGTTGCAGAAATACAATGTATTCATTTTCTTCTAAAAAGACTAAAAAATTAAATAGTTTCTACTTAGATAATACAAATAATATTAATTTGGGCACTACATCAACACATCTATCTTCGACAACTATAACTGTTAATACTTCGATTTACAAATGTATGTTTTATCATACAAATTATTATTATTATTATTTCTTATTCTTTAACTCATATAATATATATTTTAATAACATACACATGTATTAACATAAAAAAACTAGATAAATCGGCAAATTCTTCGTCCGCTGCAAATCAATATTCCTCGAGATTGGTTACCGATGCTTACAAATGTACGTTTATTTCTTCAATTTTATTATAAAAATATATTTTTTTAGCTAATTATACATTTTATAGCCTATCTTATTATCGCTTATGCAGAAAACAACAATAGCATGTACCACTTACAAGCCAGAGAGAAAAGAAGACAAAGAAAATTATATTTGAAAAATAAAAGATCGAAGAAAATGAATACAAGATCCAGCGTTCGAAGTACATCAATACCACATCTCTTAAAAAATATGGATAACTATAAAATTCTTATTTTATATTCCATGTTTTACGCTTAATTTACATTTATATGCAATACGTGATTTCTCATTTTTTTATTAGCCTGCAATATTAGATGATTTCAGCTTATTACTTTATTTTATATCATGTCTTCAATTTTCATAAGTTTTTGTTACTTACAGATCAATCAACCAACGTTGTTAGTCACACTGAAAATATTTATTCATTTAATTCGTCTGGAATCCAAAATACAACCGTACAATATTCTCCTTCCTTTCCAAATGTTAGAACTTCGTTATCTAACATTACAAATGTTAGAACTCCGTTATATAACATTACAAATGGTAATAGTTTTTTGTTTTAAAAATATACTATTATCCATTTTCTATATAATCCGTATATATACTGACTTTATTTATTTTGTTAAGATAATATTAGTTTCAATAACTTCGATACTTCCAACTTACCAAACAAAAGACAGTACTATGTACTTTCAAATGATATGACATCGAAAAATGCATCTACAATAACCGGTTCTTCATCATCAATTAAGTTAAATCCAAGATGTCATAAATTAAAAAGGAAGTCGAAACATTTATCCCCTATCCCGTTGATTGATTTGACGGAAGATGTAGAAAATACCTAATAGCTGGTATCTCAAAAGATAATCAAATAATAATATTCATTTTCATTTTTTTTACAATTCAAATACTGTGTTGTATATACTTATAAAATTAACTGATATTTTTTCTACGCATTTTATTTTACAGAATATTTGGATCATGGTGATCAAAATGTTGTATGTCAAACATGTCATGCAAAGTTATAGAGAAATGAATCCATTAGAGGTAAAGAAAAGGGAACACGGATTATTCATTATGTTGTGGTTATGACAAAGTTCAACTTCCAGATTTAAAGAAAGCACCCCCCAAGTTATGAAAGAATGTTTCGAGCAACAGATTCTAAAAGTAAACACTTCATGAAAAACATTCGACGTTACAATTCAATGTTTTATTTTACGTCGATGGGTGGTAAAATTGATTCGTCAATCAATAGAGGAAAGACTCCATACATTTTCAGAATGGGTGGTCAAAATTATCATAGTATTGGAAGTCTTTTACCAGCAAAAGGATTGGAACCAAAATTCTCTCGGTTATACATTTATAACACTGAGAACAAAATTTCAAATAGACAAAAATGCTTTGGGTATTTTTTCAAACTTTTTATTCATAATTAATTATAATATTTTTATTGTTTTTACTAATATTATGTATAAATTCAATTTTTTTTTAGTGGGAAAAAGGATCAATCAACATCAATTAATAGTGATATTATTGAAGATATTAAGGTGATGTTAGATTCAAATAATGTATTGGTTAGATCTTATAAAATGGTAAGAGATACTTTTCTGAAAAATCCTAAAGTTGATATGAAATTACGACTTATCGGGAGAAGGAAGTGAGATGGGAGAACATATAACCTACCAACTGCTTCTGAGATTGCCGCTTTAATTGTCGGTGACATTTGTGATTCAATTGAAAAGAGGAATATTGTTGTTCAAACAAAAACTGGATTTCTACAATGTATCAGTGAATTGCATCCTTCGTACCTTCCTCTCCAATATCCACTGTTATTTCTATATGGGGATGATGGTTACAATGTTGACATTCTTCATAGAGGTGTGTCATTTATGACCAACAGCAAGTGGGCGAAATGTACAATGAGAGAATATTTCGCTTTTAGAACTCAAGACAGAGATCATTCGTTCTCGCTCATTCTTAATTCAAAAAGGTTGTTTCAACAGTTTCTGGTAGATGCCTATACTATGATGGAAACGGAGAGATTGCACTACATACGTAGGCAACAACATGTTCTTAGATGCAATTCTAATGAGAATTTACTTAACCAAAAAGCTCAAGGAACCACTAATATCTCCAATGTCGGCCAACGTGTCATATTACCTTCGTCCTTTAATGGTGGTGCACGCTATATGCTGCAAAACTATATGGATGCCATGTCACTATGTAAATGGTTTGGATATCCGATTTTCTTTATAACCTTTACGTGTAATCCCAAATGGCCAGAGATTAAAATGTTTATTAAGGATACTTCACTTCAACCAGAAGACAAGCCTGATATATTATGTAGGTTATTCAAGATCAAGTTTGATGCATTTATTAAAGACTTAAGGGAGAATCACATTTTCGGCAAAGTTCAAGCATGTAATTACAACTATATTTTTTCATTATTGATAAAGCATTACTCTTATTATACTATATTTTTTATATGTTTTTACAGTCTAATCATATTTTGTTTTTTTGCAAAATATTTTACAGATGTTTATACTATTGAATTTCAAAAGAGAGGTTTGCCGCATAGTCATATATGTCTATTTATGCATTCTGACAACAAGTTACCCACTATTGAATTTATCGATTCGATAATTTCCGCCAAGATACCAGACAAAATTGAAGATCCAGAATTGTATTCACTTGTCAATGAGTTTATGATTCATGGTCCATGTGGAGCTGAAAATATCAATTGTCCATGCATGGTGGATAAAAAGTGCTCTAAAAACTTTCCAAAACAATTCTGTAATCATTCGTCTGTTGATCAAAATGGTTTTCCTTTATATAGGAGAAGAAACAATGGTCATTTTGTAGAAAAATCGGGTGTTAAGTTGGATAATAGAAATGTTGTTCCATACAACAAATATCTATTGAAAATATACCAGGCACATATTAATGTTGAATGGTGTAATCAGGGATCTTCTATAAAGTATTTGTTTAAATAAATAAACAAGGGTCCTGATAGAGCTACAGTTGTTGTTGTACGAGCCAACAATGAATGTGAAAATAATGATGCGGTCGATGAAATAGTTGAATATTACGATTGTATATATTTATCTGCATGTGAAGCATCATTGCGAATTTTTAAATATGATGATCATTGCAGGTATCCTATGGTGGTCAGACTACCTTTTCATCTTCCTAATCAACAACAAATTGTATATGGCGAAGACGATGTTCTGGACAAACCTTCTGTTGCTGCTTCAAAGTTCACATCTTGGATGGAGTGTATTGCAATTAATAGTGAAGCACGCGAACTTACATATGTTGAATTTCCTACAAAGTTTGTTTGGATATTAAATGGTAGGTTTTGGAAACAAAGGAAAGTAGGAAAAGTCATTGGTAGAATTCATTCGGTTTCACCTAATCTTGGCGAAGCTTATTTCTTAAGGATTCTTTTAAATACAGTTAAAGGTCCGACGTCATTTGATGAAATTCGCACGGTAAATGGTGAAACACATTCTTCTTTTAGAGATGCTTGTTATGCACTCATGCTATTAGATGATGACAAGGAATACATCGATGCAATTAAAGAAGCAAGCCATTTTGGATCGGGTTTTTAGGGATGTCAACGAGGGCAAACGGGACGGGGAGTGCATCCCCCGCCCCCGCCCCTGAAATTTCCCCGTTCCCCCTTCCCCGCCCCGCCCCCGTCCCCGAAATGTTCAGCCTTCCTACCGCCGCCCCCGCCCACGAATCCCCTTTATTACCCCCGCCCCC